GCAAAAAATAAAATATAAATCATGGCAGTATTTTACTTGTCAACAAGAGCAACGTGACTGGCACAACGAATTGCCGAATGTTGAATTTCAGTTACGGCATTTATATTAAAAAAAAAACTGGTTCATTTTTAAACAAATACATAGGTATAATATTGATATTCTAGTACGTCTGATTAGGTAAACAGGAAAATTTCTGATTAGGTAAACTATACTCTGAGCAGTATAGTTACCATTTTTCATATTTACCGGTAGTCCAATGGTTGATTTCATGCATCACTTCACATGCATAAAAAATTCTGTACTTCGAAAGAAAAAACAGAACCATTGCGTAATTTAACAGGGGTGTGACCGATATAACAAGTCGTAGGATACGACATGTATTGGCGATATTTCATTACATCGACATGTATTTTTGGTGAATAAGATAAGATGGCAATATTGCTCTTAAATCCATTTCATTCGTTCGTCATTATTAAAGTACATACAAATTATTAAATAAAATAAAATATCGCCATAACATCGCTAAGAAGTCGAATCTTTTGTCTAGTCATGGCTAGATGGTTAGGCCTCCGTGTCTAGGTCGTGTGGTTCCCCAAAATATGGTAGATCTAAGCGATCGCTGGCTCATTCGTCATACTCACTTCATAACTAGTTGACTTAATTTTGTTTTGGTATTTTATATACATCATAACGACGAGAGTATAACAATAATTATTTGTAACAGGAAGAGGTGCATCGTGCTGAAGTGGCTTGTCTTACTGCTGCTAATGAGATTTGTCATCTGCAAGGATCCATGCATGATGGCACCACAGAAACTGTTAGTATTAGGTCGCTATTTTTTCTATTGTCATAAAATAGGGCAGAAGGCCCAATTATGGCGTCTGCCCTTTCTTAGCTATTGACACTTCAAGGCGTTCTAATAACGCAAAGGAAAATATAACACTTTACCGTAACCGCTTTTTAAAATGTTGCATTATGACAAAAATGATACCGTTGAGCGCGGTAATATTTGAAATATCACTTCTACGTACTTCATAAAATGGCCAAAACCGGGTCATCTGTCCCATATGCTTATAATAAGCTTAGCTACCGGTATTTATCGCTCAAAGTAGTTCTTTTGCTATGTGTGAACATGCGTTAGGAGGACCCAAGCATTACATAAGATTTGACAACCCAAAAATACTTCAGCTAAAAGCAGTTAAATAGTACCGTTACCATGAAAAATATGGAGTGAGAATTGAGTGCGAATATATTTTGTATCGAGTACAACATCCAAATTTTTGTATCATATTATTTGCACGGTGTCACCTGCATTCCATATCAAACACAAACGGTCTAGCCTAAGGCATCATATCTCCAATCAGTCAAGTTATAAGGACATTTGATCTTGCTATGGCATTTATTGAAGCTTCAGTAGTCTCAAATGCAACGATTTACAAGCCTATGTTAAGGCTTGAACAATATCTGCTTTAAAGTGTGTTGGAAAATGCTTACTTAAATTTATGACTTCTTTTGTAGTCCAAATATTCCAATTTTCCATTCCCAAAAATCCGTTCATTCCATATAGTTATTTTGCTTTTTTCTGTTTTATAATTAAATGATGATGGAGATGACAATCGTTATGTTGTTGCATTCACTTGATTGATTTTCGCTTGATTGAAATATGTCGTAACGAAGGAAATTGCATTTAATGTATTCAATTTTGCACGAAGCGTGTTTGTTTGTATTTCTTTTATAGCTTTCAAATTAAACTGTCGACTAAAACCAACAAAGGCTAAAAGCAACCTTGTTTTATTTCATACAGAGAAGTCACAATGGTAAGTGACTTCATTAAACAATGATGTAACTTTCCATTATAATATCGTCAGAAATAACATAACTGCCCCCTTACTCTCGAACGCAATCGGGACCGATCGACATTTCAATTGTGCGTTTCGTACTCTTGTTTGAGTACACTAGCACTAGAGTATGCGAGTGAACTAATCAAGAGTACAGAACGGCACAACTGCAATGTCGATCGGTCGCAATTGCGTTCGAGAGTAAGGGGGCAGATCAGAAAACAGATTTAAAGGTGTTTTCGCCAACATATCTTTTTTGTCTAATTTTATCATTTCTCAACAACAGCAAAGCCTCGTATGTGACTTAGCAGTTTGCACCAACGAATGTATGCAGTCAAAAGTCTCTGAACCAGTCCAAGTCGAAAAACAAGTCGACGTGTTGCAACAAATATTGAATTCACAAACAAATACGTCCCACAAGGTACTTTATTTAAAACAAGCTGTTTCCTTGCGGCTTCGTTCGCATAAATAATAGCATATAATGTAGCTTCCCTTAAGTGAAAGAATTTTCATGATCGGATCAGTATTTCCGAAGATTTTGTAGAAGACAAACAATCTTAGAAACTTTACCTCTTTATAATATTAGTGTACACTATACGAACTTTGAACATCAGAACATATGCGTAGAATACTTCTAAGTGACCCCAAAACAATAAAGATAAAATTATGGTGAAAATAAGGACCAATTATCAGGTCAGAATAAATTGTATATACTATGTTCCTATTGTGTATCAAACTTAACCAACACTGTCGCTAACTCCGAAACAATCGCACTTAGCTTCGAAGAGCATTAACAACTACATTATATATTTTATGTTACCTTTGTGACAACAATAACTCTATAGAGTTATTTGGTGCAAGAGCACACTTTCTATGACAACTCCAAAATAGAAAATAGTAAAAGAAATATGAGTGAGATTGGTAAATTAATTTATGTTACTCAGTTTCTCTATAAACAAGATATGATCTATTTTAGAAAAGCTTATTTAATTTCATAGAAACGCATTTTTCATAAATTATACATTAGACAGAACTTGACAGTGTCTCTGATGATAATCTCCGATCCAAAATTTCCAATATTTCGTTTATGGACACAGTGGGATAACTACAGACAGGAGGATTGGTGTTGTAGAACTTAAATTTTTTTTAACCAATTTTAACCAATTTTTTTTTAACCAATTTATTGTAATTATATAATTACAAATTTAAGAGCAAAAACAATGGACACTATGGTAACGTTTTAATTCCCCATACAAACTTCCACTTCCATTTACATCCCTTTAATTGCTACTTGACTTGGATGAAATATAGACTACCTATGTTCACCGCAAATAATGTAGCATGCCGTAGGTGAAAGAATGTTTAAAATCAGTCCATCGATCTTTCCTCTTTATAATATAGTATTTGTAACAATATTTCTTTCGGCTGTTTGGGTGGATGCTTGAACATTGATGAGAATACGCTCTGTAGTAGCGAAAAGTAACAAGTGCTTGAAAGATTCGTCAGTCCCGTTAGATCCTGGGTAGTTCAGCGGTTAGAGCAGTCGCCCGGATTGCGCAAGGTCGTGGGTTTGATTCCCATCTCAGGGTGCCAGGGACAAAGTGGATTCTTTAAGCATTTTGTATTAGAATAATTTACAGTTTATTTATATATAAATCGTAAATATACACTGATCTGATTTTTTTTTTCAGGAAATCGCAATCATGTCTTACTTATACACGAATTCTTTCAACGCTGAAAAACCGGTAGAAAATTAACTACATCGCTCTATCATAATGATCTGGATTTCGTTAAATGAGTATTGTTAACTCTGGTACTGTAATAAATATTTGGTTAATGAATCTGGTGTGCTTTATTTCAAATTATATAAATTGGGAATGCTTATCATGAGCAACAGCGATCTACTTTTCATTTCAATCCGTATAATTAAATTGTATTGTATTTGTGTTCGAACACTATAGTTTTCATTCGCCTCTATTTTTAACCGACTTCAAAATCGAAAAGGAGTAAATGTTATATGTATGTTTTTTTGTGTTTTATAAATGCCCAAACGTTGTGGGAATTGATAGATTTATATATATTAATATTCCGAAGTGGAATAATTTAATAGTTAGCATAAAAAAACTATGCTGTTAATTTTAAGAAAAGAGATTTCATTGTTTGCATTAAATAAACTAAAAATAAAGACTAATTAATCTATGATATAAGTATGTAAATCTATGCTTTATACTTTAGACAGTGCCCACAACTTTTGTTTTTATAAGTGCAGCAAGTAAACATTAAATAAACGGGTACTAAACTATATCACCGAAAACTTCTGGAGGTTACCAACCAATACGAGAAAATTAATATCTAGCTGAATTCGTCCTAAAAATATGAAAGATTTGCTTAGTAATAGATAAGAGTACTCTATCTTCCATAAGCTTAATCTATCTGAGAGTTATACAAAGCCTAATTAAACTTTGCATAGGCGTACATAGGAAATTACAACCTGCAGAGCGATTCTGTAAAATTCTAAACCCGAATTCGAATTCACCCATGTGTCCAAATCACATCATTTAGTGTAGAAATTCTATTGATTCTGTTTTTCCATACGTATCTCAGATATTCTGTACCTATGTATGTCATTTCGAAACTTATTTCACTAATACCACGAAACAATATTACTAATTCAAGGTTGAGTTGATGCCGCTTTAGAATTGAATTCGGGTACCTGAGTGAATTTGAATTCGGGTTCGGATTTTTACAAAATCTCAGTGCTTAACTATACACTACTTATGTCAAATTTTTTAACGGATATGTAAAAGTAGGTATATTAATTCATAATCACAGTTTTATCAAATAACACAAATACAGTTGAGTATTATGAAACAAGAAACAATTACAAATATTTTTAAATGAAAAAAAAAATACGACAAAAATCAATATAGTTTGAATTTATTTCTAATAACGTTATGTATTCAACTCAATAATTGTGATTTAAAATAATATTACAGACTAAATTAACTTTTATTGACTAAATTATCATTATTATACGTCTCGCAGGCTAAGCGAGAATGTAAAAAAAATCCTTAACTTAATTTACATTAATACAAAGGATATTTATCAAAGTATAAAATAAAATACCAATTGATTTTTTTTAATGAAACATATTTATTTTGTATGAAAAATACAAAAGGTCTCCAAAAACCCGTTTTGCCCGCATATTGGCCAAAAACGGGTAACCCCCTCTGGGCAAAACAGGTAAGCTTAGGGTATAACAAGTACACTTTTTTTCTAAACGGTTATACCTTCTTAATGACTTAACATAGTATAAAAATAACAAAACAACTATTAAATTTTATTTTCATCACAAAACTTAACTAACAAATTATTTATAAGCTTTTATTTCTTACTTTTTAAGCAGTCTTTATATTTGGCTTAAGTTTAAGATAAGATTCGGTAATTTAATGAATCTAAATGTAGTTATAGTCTCATAGAATCATTCTTTAATGTCTTATTTTGAAAATCTATATCAATTTAAGAAATATAAGTTCAAAATAATAACAAACATTTAAATCAACTATATCTACTGTAACAAGTATATAGATTCATATCGAACATCGTAACTTAAGTCTTCATTCTTGACATAAATCGCAAAAATAAGAGCCTACACCTGAGTAAAAAGTGCATGCTTCGTGGGCCCATTCCAGTGGCGTAACTACAGTGTAGGAAGTTGGCAAAATGCCACGGGCCTCCTGCTGGAAGGGGCCCCAGGTCATAGGAGAATCCTTACTCCTGACATTTATCATTATAAAATTAGTAAAAAAATACAGAATATCCGATGAATTTGCCACAGGCCTCCAACGGTATAGTTACGCCACTGGCCCATTCATTACAATCACCATATGGATCCAGTCTTCAACAGGTGGACAAATATGGATTACCACAAACAAAACAATAATACTTAATTTCCTGCTTCTTTTGTTTTCTTTTCATTAACTTCCTTTGTTTTACTAGTAGATGATTTATTATTGCCGTTTTTCTTTTTCCCAACCGACACCTTAATTTGTTTCTTTTTCTTATCTTTTATTTTCTTTCTCTCTTCCTTCATTTTTGTTGTTCTTTCATAGGTGTACTGGTTTAAACTTCAGTTTTTTTGGGCTTAGTGTTGGCAAAGGTCTTTTTCTGCAAGCTTAACGTGAGGAGTGAGGACGTGAGGAGAATATACTGGACGAAGTAAAGTGGTATTCACTGGTGTAGCACACGTATTCTCTGCATGTCCTCTAATTCCACAGGCAGCTACCATCCAGGACTTTTCATGGAACTTCCTTTTTAATATGTCGCTGCAAAGTAGACAGTGTAAACCCATACTTCATCGCGGCAGCAGACACCGAAGAGGAATTACCATCTTCCCTTGCCAATTTCATAGTGGCCTCACTCCACGATGAATTATATTGAAAATGAATTCAGGGCAAAACGAGTAGGGAAAGACGGGTACCCATTTTGCCCAAGAGTATCTTGCTTAGTAAAATAATAATAACCCCGAAATTCATATTGATAAAACAGAAGAAATTGTGGAATTCTACAGTCAGATAGAGCTAAATTAAAATGTCAATAACAACAATCCAATAATTATAAACATTTTCGACTAATTTAAAGAGACTTACCTTGCTTTTTTCTAACAAAACTACCAAAAAACTTTCGATACACACACCTACGCTATGACGCGACTTTAGCGCCTTAGCGGAACTGATTGAAGATATTCGGTTGGTGATAATTCTCGGCACACATACACATCAACACTCAAGTATGACGTAGAAGCGTACAACTACATACCCGTTTTAGGCGGGCCACCCGTTTTAGGCCGTGCCCACTTTCATAAGCCAAAAATGGCTGGATAGATCTTTGAGGTGGTTGGAAAAACATAACGACTATCTTATTTCGTGTATGCCTCGTAGACGTAGATTAGGCTTCTAGGGTTAAACACGTTAATCAAAGAGTTACAACAATAAACGATTTTTCTTAGATTATTAAATACTCTATATCTATGTTTCTAACTTTTCTACCCTTTTCCTTGCTCTGTGATTTCTATCATAGACTTCTACCATAGATATTTTTTTCAATAACCTTTCAATAAATGCAAAAATCTATCTTAAAAAAAAAAATAGAAATGGATCATTTATAATAGACATATAATATAATTTATAAATTTTTCAAGTAATATTACTTATAAACATCATAACATGCCGCTATATAGATCACTGAGGTCTTTCTGTGTCGACATAATTGTGTATATTAGTATGTTTGCCTTGCTAGGACATCTATCTGTGAACTTTTGGGAACGCTTTATAATTCAAACGGAGCTAACCAACATGAAAACAAGCCTTCATACGCTTAAGGTGCTAACGTCTTTTTTATATTGAGTCATAACCAGACAGTAGAAGTTCTCAAAAATTTTTAGTTATTCCTGAATTCAACAAAACAAAACGTTTCTTTCAGGATACAATAAATAAGATTGGATATGCTTATGACACTCTTTATCTAGAACTCACGGGACTAGCAAAGATAACAGAAAAGAAGCTACCAGATAAAATAGGTATAACAAAAAGATATGCAAAACCTCCAAAAACTGAGAATCAGCATTTTTTAGACAGGAAAAGACTTCAAGACATACAAATTCAGGCAACGACGAATGCAAAAAATCACACCCAAATTTTTACACAGAATAAGAAAAATAAAACAATTCAACACTTAGAACCGGAGAAGGAAGAAATCAGCAGAACTGCTTCAACTATGACTAGAGGACCCCTAAAGTCAACAGGAGTTGGACAGAATACGGACGAATATAACACTGACTACGACTACTACAAATATACCAAATCTAACCAATTGGAAAAATGTTGTCAAGACCACGGATGCCAGAATATTTTCTAAAATTATAATTTTTTAATTCATAATAATATATTTTATTACAAATAATATCTTTATGCCATTAACAGGGTATCAACTGATATTCGAAACCAGTCGTAAAAGTCTACTCTTTATTATTACTAAATTAATAAACATATTTATATAATGTCTAGCTCCTTACTTAAAACATTTCGTAACTAACTTTTGGTTTGTTACGAGATGTTTGCCTTTATAATTAATAGAAGTCATATTTAATTTACCAAATCCTTTTGGATGTTAAATTGTTGAAAGTTGTACTTTTCTCTTTATAAATATTATATTGTATAACTTCATTAACAATTTAAAGTTGGTTTTGCTATGTTGTATCTAATAGACGCATGGAAATAAAAGGCAGCCGATTGGCTTTAAGAACTTTAATAAAATGTTTATAGATCACACATTTCTCCTTATTGCTCTTTTTAAAAATATCCAAAACATTTGCTTCTTAGTTCTTCAGTATTTTTACTATCATTTAGTCAATCTTGATTAACCTCTCGTTTTAGTGACTCTGCTGAACATGTTGTGCACATTTCACTTTTATTTTTAAATTCTGGCATTTTTAAATAATTATCAACAGTTGGTATGAGCTGGCGGATTTGTGGATCCCCATTGTCCAGTTGTTTCTTCTCCATTGTATTAGCTAAGGCTTCCAAAATATCTATCTGGCCTTCCAATTTAGGTAATTCCTGTGAAAATTTTGATATCTTCAATTCAAGATCATAATAACCATCTTTCATTTTCGACAAATTTTTCTGTGGACAAAATATGAAAATATTGGTAATTGTACTATTACATCTTAATGTAAGTGAAACTAGTTACCAAAATGATTCTTTATAAAAATTTGATCTTGAAAATACCTATCTAACAACAACATAACAGAAGAAGTTATTTAATGTAGATTAAAGAAACTTTTTCTCTTGTGAGGACCTCACGCGCTAATCACTACATCATTGAGCTCAATGATGTAGTGATTAGCGCGTTCGATGTTCAATTCAGAAGTTAGCAACTACCAGATGACCAGGCAGTATCTGCAGACGTTTACATCCACCCTGTGCCTGTGTGGTGGATTATGGCACATTCCTGCTATTCAAAAGCATGTATAGGGAAAAACCTGTGCTCGAGCAGTGGTGACATTTATAAGCTGATGATTATAATGATGATGATAATAATGATAGGTGCTTTAGCAACGTCATTTGGGATCTCGGTTGTTGTCTAATATTTAAGATACGTTACAAAGATATTAAACTTCTCCTTTCAATCTCTGCGTTGTAAAGAGGTTTTATATAAACTCACAGCAATATCATCTAGATTCTTGGAAATGTTGTTAATATCACACTTATCTCGACAATTCTGACAGTGGTATTGCAACATCATATATATTAGGGCCATTAGGGTTGACATAATAAAGAATGTGTAGAGACTGTGCAGGAACGAATGGGGCTTTGGTTGCTGAGGAGGCGTGTTAATGTGGGGCATGTTGCGGTTACTAGAGTGGTAACGCCCTCTACGAGATTTTCTGCCACGCTCCATCTTTTTCTGGGACAAGAATTTCTTTTTACTTTTTCAAAATTTCACTCTCATCTCTCGTTGTTTTGATACCACAGGGAATTTAAATTATTCCCATTGTTGTTTTTTAGAAATTTTATTGGTTACGATTTTTGGAATTGACGCTGAAGAAATATCATAGAGTTATTTTTAGAGGAAGTTGAGGATATTGGATTTGTTTTGACATTTTGTTTAATTTGCTTTTAAGAAATTCTTTTAACTTTACTGCAAATAGGTGCAATTCATAATCTATGATTTTCATTTTATTAAAAAGGGGGTATTATAAAGAGTACTTAAAGATTGTTTGCTTGCATAGAATAGGCTCTGAATCTACGACGAAAGATGGTTATCATGTACCTATTTTAAAATTATTCAATCTACCTCTACACGCAATGGCACATTCTAAGTCGCGGGAAAACAGCTATATTTCATATTTAAAGTTGTTTATACGTATATTTCATAAGTAATAATGTCTGACTTTTTTATTGTGTAACTTTAAAAGCATAATCCATATATTTTAACTAACAGAGTCATCTTTCGGATATTCTTGGAAAATCGTCCTTTCCACTTTGCTGTATGTGATTCAAAAGCATTCGTAGACTATTCATAACTCACATTTGAAGTTTAGTTATTACAAAATAAGATAGATGACGCTATTTTGTTTGTATTATATCATGTATATTGTTATTAACAAATGTACTGAAATTTGAAATTGACTAATTTAATGAAACATCTATAAATATTATGACAACTTATATTGTTATAAATTACTTATTTATGAACTGCCTATGGCTATAAAAAATTGTGCATTCACAATGCTAGATTGGAAAATATTATTAATGAAAAATGCTTAAGAAATCCACTAAGACTACACTGAATTTTCAGGTCCGGCGGTCCGATTTTTTCCGGTCCGGAATGACATGAAAAACTCGGATGAGTAGCTTGTGCACTTGTCCGTTTTTTTCCTGATCGGAGCGGCGCAGTGTAGGGCAGCTCTCTTTGAAGCTACACGTCACTTATGCTAGGTACGATGAGATTTTTGGAACGTTGGTAATTCCGTTCGAAGACGTAGAAAGATACCTAAATAATGATCTGATCGTTTTACATAAACCATAATAAATTATGGCAAGACGAAAGCATTTTTTTTACTACTATCGGATGACTACTATCAGATGTAAAAACTTATACCCTTACTAATTTAGGAACAGCATTATTCACATACAATAGCTAAAAATATCTGACATTAGAATAAAATTACTGTACTCTAGTACTTGATGTTTAAATTTTTAAATGTGCTATTTTTTTTCGAAGTTTTGTAAAAACAACTTTCAGCGATTACAGAGATAGACCAATCAGTGGCGCCATTTCGTAAACAAATCAAAATTGATGCCGTGTTAGCGGAGAATTATTATGCTAAATGAACTTTACGAGATCAGTTGACTGTATTATATATAGGCATAATTTTATACGCGTGGTGTAGTTTCTTTGAGCAGAAATATTATTCCCTTAGAATACTTTTTTTTTTAATTATTAATGGCACAAAAATACATTTAAAATTTTATTAAATGCGAAAAAGACATTGAGTGTCACTTAATTACTTTTGTTAATCTTCTGTTTATTCTTTATTATTACTTCTGTTGTCAAATATTTATCTATACTTATCAATTGTTTAAAAAAAAATTGATAATGACAAATTTCCAGGCAAACTTTCATCCCCTTTTTCGCAATAAAATGTAGCCTAAATTAATATAGCAAATAGACTTAACTTTAAGAAAGGTCTTAAAGTTAAGTCGATTTACTATATTAATTTCCATTTAGATGGGTTCAGTTGTCTAAACGTAACAACACTTATTTATCTTACTTAAGCTATCGAAACTTTTAATACGATTCTAAAATCTAGCTAAGTATCGATACTAGAACCATATGCTGATCAAATTAGAACTATACCGAGTTTTCCAAAGCATATGCAGTGATATATACCAACTATATTAAATCATCATATAAAATATAGCATTTTATAATTAACAATAAATATCGATTATAAGTTTATTGGAAATTAACAATATTGCCGAAATAAATATCGATTATTTTTTCCCAAGCCTATTGCCGAAATAAATATCGATTCAAATCGATTATTTTTTCCCAAGCCTATTCCTTATGAATTTTCCGGATCTCGGACACAGCAGTGCACAAGCGTAAACACGTTTTTCATTGCCGCCATCACGGACCTGAAAAAACCGGTCCGGAATAGAGAAAAGTAAAATTCCGGACGGTAAAATTCCTGACAGTGCACAAGCGCGCATTACCTACATATGGCCTGACATATCGGATCTGAAAAAATCGGACCGCCGGACATGAAAATTCTTACTCTGAGATTGGACTCGATGCCCGGATTGCGAAAGGTTGTAGATTCGAGTCCCATCTTAGAGTACCTGAGGCTGGTGGATTTTCATTCTACTCAGTTTGCAAATTTCATTATTTACTTTATGAGTTTATTTTACAATATTTTTAATTGAACCTTATTATAAAAACGAAAAATTGGATTATTCGTTTGCATTAAATTGACTCCGAAACTATAGGACTGATTTATAAAAATGATAATTTATAAAAAATCACCTATGACGGGAAACTACATCATACATTTACCCGGAAGTAGTCGCGGGAAAATAGGTAGTATCTAACTACTTTTATAAAATAAAATCAACGAATTTTGAGGTTTATCTATCAATTGTTCCGTGACACCCGCTTATGATTCAGCTTCCAGAAATCAGTTTAGTACCTAGTTTCGGAGCATATTCAAATAAAAAAAAAGAAGCGAAATTCCACGGTAATGATAAACAATTTAAAAACTTCCGCTGTCGCAAGGTACATGAATTTAATATCCATTCAAGCAGACGGTAGGTAAACACCGATCCCTAAATCCCACCTAATTCAAGCCCAAATGGAGTCACCTTTCCTTGCTTGCTGTCGTGAACCCGCCGCTATCGTCGTCGCCGCCCGGTCGGTCGTTTAGTCGAGACGATAAAACAGCACAGACTCTCCTCTGGCTCTTTCTCACTCATTGTATCCCATACTTGGTTTTCGTTTTACATTTTGAGGTATAGTGATGTACTGATATCGATAAATAGTAAATTATAATTTATCGATAGCAAAATACTATATTTAACACAGGTTAGTCAGGGCTTATCTATTACTTTTTTGTCACTTGCAATGGAAAATATAAATTACATCTCCAAAACAATGTTTTGATATTTTAAAGCCCTATCATACCATGTTATTACAAGACTGTCTTACAAAGATTTGGCGTAGCGAAATAAGAGTAAGAAACTTTGTCTCTCTAATATACATAAGGTGTTTTATAAACAAGTCTATCAATAATTAGGCAGACACTTCCTCAAAAGTGTAATGACTGTTTTTAAAATACTATTTTCCGCTCTAAGCAACATTACTCAGCATAGTCATACAAGTTTTTAGTATATTATTTTCTTTGAGGATCTTTATTAACAAATATCGATATTATGTTAATCAGCGCCCACAGTTATCGATAACATGTTGCGCCCTACCCAGATGTAGGCATGTCGGGCCGCGCGCCGACCGTCGCATGATGTCATTCATCACCACACACTCACACATACGAGTCGTTTGCAAGCTAACCCTGTTTACATTCTATACGCAGTGACTTCACGGCGACTAACCGTGTCTGTGATTTATTTATTATAATTATTATTTATACGAATAGAATAGTTTAGTTAGTTCAAACATGGCCAACAATCGTGCTACCAAATCCGGATTTGCCGCTGAAGCTCAGAGAAAGGTAAGTTAAAAACTTGTTAAATTCTTATAATGCATGCCGGTTAACTCACGTTAGTTTGTATAGTTCCATTTGCAATGTCACGTATTTTCAATGTTTGTACGGTTAGAGAATCGGACAATATCTTTAAATAGGTCGTGTACTGCTTAGTTATTGATTCGGGAGGCTGTGAGATCCAGAATTATGTTACAAGGACTTAGCCATGACCTACATTTTGTCGGGAACATGTTGGTACTTATTACGACATTAACACCAGCTGTTCTTCTATGCCACATGCCTTATAATTACTAATACATGAATCAGCATAATGGAAGCACGATAATTATCTTAATAAGTTCATTAAACAGTTATTTTGAAGAAGAGAAGAGAGAAAGTGAGTAGTGTTATGGAGGAAATGATTTCTCATACCAACACAAACTAGATTTTTAAAGGTCTGTTTGGGATTCAACATCTAAAAGTTACACCTACTTGTTTTGCTTTAATAATTCATTATACGAGTCAGGATTGTACAACAATGGATCCACGCCTGTATAACGTCATCTTTCACGGTGATAAAGATGCCAACCCATTAGCTGCCTAGGTAATTTATATTCTTTGCTCATAATTATGCAGCTAATGTTCCTGCATTAACGAAATGTATAAGTTTAGATATCTAAGGTACCTCTTCAATTCTAATAAGATTTACACTACCTACAAATTTATAATTCAGAGTACAAAACTAATACTGAGAAAACAGTTTGTAAATGTACCATTATCATGTTCGTTTATACTAAAACAAATTTAAACTTGATATTGGCAAAATAATTGTAAAGATTATCGATAATTTTTACATCACTATGTATACAAATCATATTTTTTCTAAATACCTAACTTAAATATTTGAAAACGATGAAACTAAACTGTGTAAGAATTGATACTAACGTCTAAACAGGTTTTCTCGCAAAAAATCGACCGGACATCGAATGAATTCAGTTTAGCTTAGCTTATCTTGACCTTATGATATCACATTTAAATATTTTATAATGAAATTTCAATTCAAAACTAACTAAATCTAAAGTTAATCGAATAAAAAAATAAATAAACTCACACGCGTTTAAAGAAACAATAAAAAGCAAGACTTTTAAAATCCGAACTTTGCTACTTGTTTCTCAAAATAATTATTTTTTGAGTTGAAAACAATGTATATTTCTTTTTTTTTATCCTTTGATTCTCCGTTTATCAGTATCTATTCTTATGTAGTTATAGTTTATGTGTCTGTGGTAGTTGGTTTTTAATTCTATAAGATCCATCCGAATAATCATTTGTTGAACACGGGACCGTTTTAGTAATTCATAAAGCTTTTGTTGAAGACATTAAAGGTTGTATATGATTGTTGAATATACAATAAATGTATACAAGAAAAAATTGGTGACTTAACTTATCTATAGTCAATTACTTTAGCGCCACTCCGGGTTAATGACTACATAATTAAATTCGTTACAGAACATGGTAGACGAATCCTTGTAGACCAAGGTTATTATAGTACATTCAAAACAATTGTAACTCTGTTTAACATGTTTTGCATTGTTGGTTTTAAATATAACTACGCCCAAATACGCCCATCTATCAAAAAAAAATTTAAAGTGCCTGCTGCAAATTTTATTCCCCATAAATCTTCATAAAATTAAGTTGTCGATCTTTTTCATTTATTAGAAACATATTTAACATTTTAGCTAAACACTGAACTTATTCGAGAAATTAAAAAACAAAAATGTACCATTCTCCTTTTAGACGTGTAATTATTTTTTTTATATTTTGTGAAATAAACAAACATTCCGAATAATAATGCCGCTAAGTGATGCTTGACAGTAGATTTCCTACGCGTATTCTTTTCATTCTAATCAAGTATCAATGTTAATTAATTAATGTATTTATTACAATTTGCAGTTGATATGCATCAATTGATAATAGGAAATGATTGCGGCATATTACAGAGCTATCTGCTAATTCATTAAAACTAATTAATGGGGTTAATAATTAATAACTGCTACAAAGAATGTCTATTTTTATAGTTTCATGAAATTTTCAACAGGCAATATCAGTTTTGCTATATTTATTATTTTTTATAAATATTGTAAAACGCCTTTTAACTTTTAACCAAAACAAGAGTCTAATTTTCTTCTTCTTCTTCTTAACTTTAATGGCACTTTGCGTCACCACATTACTGCCAACTTCACGTAGAAGACCATTACACGATTTAAATACATTCATTCAACAAAACAATTTTGAATTCCAATTCAATTGTCTAATTTTAAAACACATTACAATATTTCAATTTGAAAGACACTCTCTTCTTCTTCTTTTTTAGTTCATGGCCTGTTTGCGTTTACACAATTCCGCCAATGTTACGTTTGTGGTCTTTACACGTAAAGAAACAATAATAAAATATGTAAATTTTGAATTTTGGGGAAAAAGACATTCTCAAACTTCACGCTAGACATACCTGTTTGACATGTAATAGCGATTGCGACCTCTCCTGAAAGTTTGAATGAATGAACGATATCGTTTATTTGACGTTAATTGGAATTTTAAAAGCAAAGCAAAGCAATATATGATTGAAATCTAATGAGACATGTCAAACGAAAGAGTTGAATGCTAGCTGTTATCTTTCGATTGGTTTAACTAATTTTTATTAAGTTTCTTGGTCGTTCAAAACGTTATTCATTCCAAAAGCGATTGCGACTTTAAAAGTTAACAATTCTCTAAATCGCTCACACAGTTGAGGTATAACGATAGATTTCAAAAGTAGAACAGTGTAAATTTTTTAATTTTTTTACCGACAGGTGTTCTTAGATGATCAGCTTGTTAAAAAAATGTTTAAAAATAAGATATTTAACCACCTTTAAAATGAACTAAATTCCAAACTCTTATGGTCAGTTGCAAAAACGTCCATTAGGGTTTAATGACGCCACCAAACTCTAATAAATATCAAATTTGTATGGGTAATGTGACTTTGATATATGATTTAATGGATGATTGTCCAACTGGCGCTTATTATTCGGTATTCTAATGGGGAAATATGTGAGTCTTAAAAATGTAGAGTAACTGAGTACAAATATGAACGAAAATACAACGAATAAAAGATTTATAAAAACATTTAAAAAATCATAAAATTAGTAAACAGACACCACAATAGCATAATTTGTATTATATATACTTTGATCTTTGATTTGTACTCGAGCCTTACTCACGCAATAACTGTGAGTATGCAAAATACCAACTCGTGATTTACCATTACAAGTTACCAACCGATTTTACCTCTTTATTATGGTACATACATGTTACTTGTAAATATTTGTATGTTGGCATTGAAAAGGATCCGAAACCACTGGACTGATTTTAAAAATTCTTTCACCTACGGAAAACTGCTGGTGACATAGACTAATCTACGGCAACACAACAAAGTTAGAAACATTACCGCTTTTTAATATTACTAGCTTTCCGCCAGCGGCTTCACCCGTGTGTTCTTGTATTATACATAAAAACCTTCCTTTTGAATCACCCTATCTATGAAAAAAAAACCGCATTAGAACCCGTTGCATAGTTGTAAGGATTTAAGCATACATAGGCCTATAGAGACAGAGTAAGCTACTTTGTTTCGTACCATGTAGTGATTATACAAATGATGTAATTTTAAAATTTTATTTTAAATAGGCAAAGCTATGCAATGGTATTTGTGGTGTTAGGTCAATGATCTAAGCTTATATTACTTACGCTCTGCCGGTCATGCTTACCCTCTCATACTTACACCCACTTGCCATTCGGATCTTATTTTCGTATACGTACCGTTGCCACTTGTCGTTAAAACCAGTTTTACGGTGGATTCTTCATTTTAATTCAACATTGTAATAGCATATTCAATCCAGTAATTGAAAACAATAAGGTACTGACGCTTTATAAGGACACTGTTAATAGTTGATTGAAAAAGCCAACTTAAATATGTATTTCTCAATTTGATACCACCGATCAGTAAAGACAATTGTAATTCAAAGCAGTAAGGATTTTAAGTAAAATAAAATGGATCCTTATTAGACGTCGTTATCTCGCATTTAAATTAAATCATTTGATTTTATTTCCGCGCTAATGAATATCTTTTATGACACTTTCGGACGAGATTATTTTCATTGATTGCTATTTGTTAATTTTAATTTACAATTACTTTAATAGTTCTCTTATAATAAAAAACGCAATTTTACTGTCAGATCTGATTTAACGAATACAGCATTCTTCTTATATAAATAAATGGAAGTCTATTTGTAATATTAAAATAACCGTTTTTCACGAAAAACATGTACGAGTATGTATACACGGTACATATACAAAATTAACATATATTTTTCATTTTTTGTCTGTCTGTTTGTTCCGGCTATCCCTGATATGACTGGACCGATTTCAGTGGGACTTTAATTGGCAGGTAGCTAATGTAATAAGGGGTAACTTAGACTACTTCCCACGCGGACGACGTCATGGGTAGTCTGCAATAATATTGCTCTTATAAAATATCTTCGAAAAAGCAATTTATTTAAATTTACAGTTTAAAACTAACTTCAGTCTTAGTTTGCGAAAACAATAGCCACCAGCTTCTAAACCAGTTTACAATTAAGTAGGTACATACCTTACAACAATTTGTCGTAAAACTTGTCCGCCTCATAAATCTTTGCAAATAGACTTTGCTCCGGATGATTTAACGAAAAGCTTATTTAGCTATTCTATTTGTGAACTTGATTAAATATTATTACAATACTGGCTATCATTACAAAATTCTTATATGCAATATGCAAAATACGGGACATTTTATTATATTTAAAACCTATTAAAAATGGACTTTCATTAGTATTTACTAGAATGATTATTAATCACGGGAGTGCTACCCTTACCTTAAATTTTGATTCTAATGTGAAGGATGTTACCATGAAAGTTTAAAACGACATAAAATGGAAGTATTTAGGAATATCCATTAGTAT